GGGGGGGGGGGGGGGTTCTGGCAGTCCTATCCCCTCTTTCAACTTGCATATTACCATGGAGTTTTCCTAGCTAGTTACTGTTTAAAAAGTGAGATATTACATGCTTCTTCAGCCATTATACAAAACTAAACCAAACCCCACGCACTTTTCACATAAGCAAGTAGCTATTTGCCAACACCAAGTTGTAGCAACACAATTTAAGTAGTGTTTACCAACTAAAAACTTGTGTAGATACTCTGGCTACCACACACAGTTTGAGGGACTTAATCTTCCTTTCTGCCCTTCTTTCACAGCACTAAAAAGAAAGCAGCAAGTTCACAGCAGTCCTCCCTAGTCTCCTTGCGCTTAGGAGAAGGGGTGGTTGATATGGGCTGTGTATTCTTTTAGCAACAGGTCACAAGAGGGAGAGAACTAGAAGGGTTCACTTGCAAAACTAGCCAGAAACCCAAGACAGATACACCTTAGAGTAGACACTAGTTAGAGTTCTTTTAGATCCATTATTTCTATTCAGATTCCTGCTGTAGGATGCTAAGACTCAAAATAACAGAGCCTTACAACAAAAGATAGAAACACAATCATCCAGCCCTACCGTCCAAACACTTCCCAGGGTAACAGTTAACTAACACAAACAGGAAGAGGGAGCCAAGTGCAATGGACCTTCAGGATAAGAATACCCTATTACATTGAACTAGGGAAAAGGAAGAAGAGAAATTAAGAGTCATTTAGTATCCATCTTTATAGGTTTAAAAATGAAACATTAAGAGGATCTTATGCGCTAGCAGTCATTTAGAAATTTAACATCGTTAAAGCCATGTAACAGAGAATTATACCAGGGTAATTAGTAGTTTTGCCTAAATGACATTAAAAAAAAAGTAATCAAGGCTCAAAATACAATTTGACAAAACAAATAGCTTGAAAAGTTAATTTAAAAAAAAAACTTACCCAATAAAACAAATCAATCAAGTACAAGCAAGTTTTAATTACTGCTAACTTATTTCTAGTTGTTATTCTCCTCATCTTGCTTGATAGCCACTGACCTATTCCTCCTAAGCACACAGCAGTAAAGACAAAAATATTGGCTACTGCATGAGTTTCTAATCACTATGCTCATCAGCTATTTATGACAAACACTGCTCCAATTGGCACATTTTAACTAATTTAAGGAGCCACAGGTTAATTATTAAAGGGTGGTTTCTGACAGTTTTAGTTGTACCTTCCTTCTGGAGTGATCCCAGTGATTCCAATGAGAGAAAAGTTATCAGAAGCTTGCTTCATTTACTAGTTACATATTGAAAAGAAAAGTGAGCTCCAATCAACAAGAGGTATTTATATCTTAAAGGAAATGTGTTTTTCTCCGCTTAAGTGGGTTACTATCTATACATTTGAATATAGCATATACTTTCTTAACAAGCTGGTCATTTTTTTATTTTTTATTTTTGGAAAACACTGATGTGCACCTGCAGTTGTGCTAAGTGGAGATTGCTATGGTCCCCTTTAATTTCCCTCTCCTGTTGGGTGCCATGATACCAGCAGTATTAAATGCAGAGTTCTGAAGTGGCTGCAAAGTGGTATGAAGCAGTGTGAACCTGCTCCTGGGGTTCTCCAGCTGTTTTGGGTCATACAGCTCGTAATCAGTTCAATATGCTGCTGTGTACCCTGTTATTATGTGTTATGATATGACCAACCTAACAGTAATACTTTGTCACTGCAACAATGCAAACTGATTAAGAAGAAAGATTTTCACAGGCTAAAGTAACCTAAACTGTAGATACTCAATAGGATTAAGGAACTTGAAAAGTGATTAAAGATGAAGCAGGTCCAAGGAGGTCCATGGCCATGGGTCAGACTTGATGATCTGCTCAGGTCCCTTCCGACCCTACTGACTATGAAGCAGATGACCTCAAGCAGTCCTAGTTGGCAGTATAAGGCAGAGGTGTCAAACTCGCCCTGTGCGGCAGGCTGGATCCAGACTACAGGGCTCTTTCTTTGCAGGGCCATTGGCAGTGCCAGCAAGCCAAGCAGTCTGTCTGCACAACCCTTGCTCTCCCTACCGTTGCCAACCACTCTTTTCAGCAGGGCTCTGTTCCCAAATTCCCTGGTCCACCAGGAGCCCCACAGGCCAGATGGAGTGACTCTGCAAGACAGATCTAGCCTATAGCTTGAACATTTGACACCCCTCAGATAAGGGATGTGACTTCTGATGTGATATGGAAACAAGATGGAAAGAAACACCAGTGTAACTTGGGGCTTTTTTCATAAAGGTATTACATCACAGCACAAGGAAGTAGTTGTCCTCTCTATGGCTCTGGGGTGGCTACATCTGGAATACGGTTTTTAGTTGTAGGCGTCTCATTAACCGCAAATATACTGACATTTTGGAAGTAGATCAAAGAAAAAATTATCAAGAGAAATGCACAGGGGAATAACAACAGAAGTGAATTATAAGAAAAGATTAAAGGAGCTGGTTATGCAATAGTAGCTGGTTACTCAAGCTAATGGCGTAATCCAATGGCCATTAGCAACCATTACTGAACACTTAAATAACACTTATTGGGTGGTATTTTCCAAAACACTCAGCGCTGACAACTCTGCTCCCACAGATCTCAATATTTAGGAGGCTCAAACCAGTTCAGAATGCTATGATGCATTTCCTTACCGGCACAGGCTACCATGGGCATATTAAATGTGTCCTCTGCTTTCCACTTTGGCTTCCCATAGTCTTTTGAATCACATTCAAGGGCTCAATGCTTATCTTCAAGGCATTTTGTGGTCTGGGTCCAGGATATCTAAAAGGCTACCTGCAGCTCCAGGATGAAGTCTTGTTGACCATTCTTCTCGTTATCACAAGAGTTCTCATCATGAAGGGTAGAGGGGGTCTGGGCAGGAGAACAAACTTCATAGAGGCTGGCCCAAAAACAGTTTCCCGACAGACCTAATTGCCATTGCCACCTTCTGCTCCAATATGAGGTGCATTTCTTTCATCCCGGAAGGACATTTAGATCATGAAAGAAGCTAAGTGATTTAATCCAGGTTCCTTCTTATGAATAAGATTTTCATTAGGAGACTAACCACAGGGTAGCTCAGGATGATTTTTCTGAAACTCGGCTTCACTGTTTTCTTCTCCCTCAGTTTAGCCCAGAATGCTGGTAATATAAACTATACATTTATGTTTTCAGAGGCATTTAGAAACCTGAAAGTGCAAATATCTGCCTTTTTTTTTTTGAAGGATTCAGATATCTACCCACCTTTGTAAATCCCACTGGACATCACTTATTCAGTTTGCATCCACCATACGACATAATTTCGTCTTGATGGTATTGGAGGAATTACTCAAGTAATTTGGTGAAGCCCATTGCTGAGCATACTACCCATGGGCTCCAGAGAAGTATTGCTTGCATGTACACTTTCATCCAAGGAATACAAAGGACTTTTATGGCAAGCTCCAAATAGTCCCTGTGAGAGATCAACTCCATTATTTCTCAGTCGTCAGTGTTTTTTGTAGCCATTCCCACTAGAATTAAATCACTGAATGCAAATAATTACTTCTATACACCACCTGCAAATAGTGAAAATGTTAAACAACACATACCAAACCAAACCAAATCCCTGTACTACCTTACCACATGCATCTGGTCTACCACTGTTTGCCGGTACTTCTGGTTCATTGTCTGTTAGATGATTTTCAGTTCTCATGCAATGTTTGTATGCAGCTAACAGTAGGCCCTGAACCAGGGGATGGCAACCTTTTTGGAGCAACAAGCTGAAATAATGCATTGTGGTCTGAGGTGGCCTGGCAACTCTGACTCAGCTGCTCCAGAAACCCCCCAGTGCTGAATTGCTGCCTTTGTGGACAAGATGAACCACTTGGACTAGGGACAGACCTTCAAAACGCCAGAGCCTGAACTGATTCAATCTTTGCAGGTTAGTCTAGCCTGCCTAGGCTGAACTGGCTTTGTAACAGCGCTCTGGACAGAGGAAATGCAGACACATGACTGCAGTTGCTCAGGCCAGGCAGCAGGGGGCACTAGAGCATGCCCTTGGCTGCAGGGAAACTGTGCTGGGACAGGGGCATAGCCAGCCTGGGCTGAACTGGCCAGAGAGGGGTTTAATTCCCCCCTCCCTATCCCACCAGCAGGGACCTGAGCCAGGTCTGCTAGGCACTCCCCCACTCACAGCTGCAGCAGCAGGGCAGCATGGCGCCTGGGACAAAGGGGACAAGGAGGGGGGTTATTTCCCCTCTACCCCCACTGCTTCCAGGGGACCGCAGCTGGGTCTGCCCAGCCCAATCACCATTGCTGCTCACTCCCTGCTTGGCAAGCGGTGGACTAACTCCTCTGCTGCCCACCCTGCCACATGCTGGCAGGAGGGGGTAAGATGGGGCTTATTCTGCTGCTTGCCCCAGGCGGAGAGTGATCAGCAGCAGCTGGGATAGGTAATCCCTGCTGTGGTGCCCTGGGGGTACCCCACTCCCTGCCCCCCCCCCCACCACCAAGAAGCCCTGCCAGCTGGCATCTGCCCTTGTCCCTGCCTGGCCACTGAAGCGGCAAGGGGGGAGTGACTGTGACAGGGGCAGCACCCCCTGTCATGGCTTCCCCAAGTGTGAGCTTCTTCTGGCAGTGGGCCATGTTGCAGGGTGAGGAAATCTGCTGTGCAGCATGGCAGTGGTGCTGTGGGCAGCTCTGGCCCCCTCCAAATCCCGGCTGCTGTGCGCAGTCTGCTGCAGCTCTGCCAGCCCTGCAGCAGGGCCCCCTGCCGGGAAGGGGCTCATCCTCCCTGACACTGTGACAGGGGCTGCTGCCCCCATCAAAGGCTCTGCCCCCTCGCTGCTGCAGCGGCTGGGTGGGGGCACAACCAGACACCAGCCAGCAGGGGCAGGGATTATTCCGCCTCTCTCTAGCATCTGGCAGATAGGGCTTATTCCACTGCTTGCCCCAAGCAGGGAGCAAGTGGCTGTGGTCAGGGCGGGCAGACCCAGCTGCAGCCCCCCAGGGGTAGAGCAGGGAATAACCCCCCCCTCCTTACCCCCTCTGCCTGAGGGGCCATGCTGGCGCACCGCTGCAACAGTGAGGGGGGAGAGCCTGGCAGACCCAGCTCAGGTCCCTGCTGGTGGGACAGGGAGGGGAAAATTAAACCCCTCCCTCACCAGACCCCTGCCCCTGCCTGTCCCTGCTCTGGCTCAGGAGCAGAGGGGCAGAGCCAGCCCTGCTCTACTGGAGCAGAGAGCTGGTCCCAGACAGGATGCTGGGATGCTAGAGTACTCTGATTTAACTTAAACCAGGAAGGGTTTTGGGACAGACATTGCATAAACCAGTGTGAGTTCAATCAGTTAAGTCTCATACTACATTCAGCCAGGCTTATCTCAAACTGGTTTTGGCCATTTTGAAACTGGTTTATGTGCACTGCTGTTACAGGTTTAAACCAGTTTCTGATCACTTAAACTGGTTTATGTGTAACATCTGTACCTAGCCCTGGATGGTCCAGATTTGGGCCTTGGGTCATCAGTTTCTAACACTTGCTGTGAACCATGTAGGAAACTTTACATTATATAATGCAGCTGAGGATATCCCAATTATTCCTATAAATGGTTAATTCTTCTTTTGAATCCAGCTGTGTTCTTGACCTCTGTAGTATTCTGTAACAGTGAGTTATGCAGGTTAATTATATGCTATATTTCCCTAAGTCAGTTCTAAGCATGCTATCTTGCAGTTCCTGATTAGAAGTCAGGAAAAAAGGACAGCTTGATTCATCTGTTTTGTGCCATACAATATTGTATAGTCGTTGTGTGACTTTTTGTATTTCCTCTAAACCCTGCGGATGCACGTGCACACACACACAGAGAAACATTAAAAGCAGATGATTTTAATTGTATAGAAAATGCTAAGGTTTGTCATTCAGTTTTATTGAAGCCAAATGAGCTTCTAGAGAGAACCACTGCCTGGAATGAAAGATGAAGTGTGAGAAGGAGAAGGGCTTCCTAGTAACTATGGAAAAATTTAAAACCTCAAACTATATTATCAACAGTCAAGCCATTAATACATTGCCAGGTTTC